CACACACACACACACACAAACACACAAACCATGGAGGGTGTGAACCCTCCAGGTGCTTTTGATTAGAAAACAGCCTCCGGCACATGACAAGGTTTTATCAGCAACAAAGACATTGCAATTTGGTATCCTTGTCATTTGCAATCCTCTTTTATTTCCCACCATTTTAAATGTGTTCAAAGTTCACACCCTCTTCCCCATGTTAACGCAACTTCCTCAATAAACAACAGGCGTTTTATCTGCATCTACTTTCACACCATATTAGTGGATAGAGGCAGGAGCGTCTCTTATGTCCCTGGGCTATCACGCTGTGATAAGGGAACTGCTAAGTACTGAATGTCTTTATGTGCAGTCTGCACATGCGGATTATTTACAGGCTTTGGGGTTTCCTGCTGCTAAAGCCAGCTCTGGGTGTCTCACAAATCCCAACTCAGAGCATCGCCACACAGTCAAGTCTGCTCTCTGCTGAATCCTCCACTGCACCTTTTTCCCACAGTGGCAAAATGCAGACCTTTTTTCAGATAAGTTTCTCCCTGTTCTCTCTTTATGCAACTTTACTGACCCACAGTAATAATCAAACACTGTACGATCAGCCAAAAATCCAAGGGAGGCATCTGAATCGCTGCATTTGTTTTGAATGGGACAGAAACACAGGACCAGAGAAAATAGACTATGTCGGGAAATGTGATGGGGAAAACATTCAGGGGGGAAATTGGTCAGGGTGCCTCCTTCGGGAGTCAGACAGTTGGGAACGTCGGGGCCAGTGATGTTTGTTCAGGCCCATCAACAGAGAGACCTCCTCCTCTTGCCACAGCTGGGGAAGACCTTGAACGTGAAATGGTTTCAAGCAGATTGTTCCTAATTGCTAGAAGATGTGCAAGCAGGTGTAACTGGATCCCTGCGGCCACTCGGAGAAAAGGAGAAAGAACGAGACGTGCATCTGTTTGTGCCTTTCCATTCTTGTGTGTGGGTGTGCACGCTTCAGCGTATTTACTCTGCAGCCATGTTTCACCGGGCTTTATTAGGCAGGAGAGTGTAGCTCAGAGACAGCCAGCAACAACACAACTAATAGGTTAGCTCTTAATGTAGTCTGGCTCAGTTGACATCAGCCCCTCTGGTCTGGCTCCGCAGCCTCAGCGGGGCTTCAACACCAGCAGCCTAAATGTCAAGGTTATCTGCTCGACTTTCTGAC